CAGAAGAAGTTCGGAGACCAACATATAATTTCATCAAAATTATACAAAATTTGCCAAGATTACCGAAGGCTAACCAACCGAGAATCTCATTGAAATCAATTTTAGATATGTATAACTCACTACATTATACTATAGCTAGGTAACTGGCAACTATATTGAAACCACTCCAAAAAAAACTTGTAAAGGATAGTGTTAAGGAAACATTCGGATTTGTTGATAAGATCAAAAATACAATTACTATGGCATCTTAGGATGTAACACCATTATTCACAAATTTTCCAAATATTTAGACCGTAGATTATATACTTGAACAACTTAGATAAAGCAAAATAAAAACTACACTTCTAATTAATGTCGTAAGACAGTTACCACTGAAATGCACTGTGAATATGAATTTCAAGTTTAAAGGAGAAATATGTAAACAAATGGATGGAGTTGTAATGGGTTCACAACGAGTCCCATAATAGGTTATATTTCTCTAGCTTAACTACAAAATGGTCTGCTTAGAAAGTTTATTCAAAAATCCATATTTTATTATCCATATATGGATGATACATTCACCTTCTGTAGACATAGTACATTACAACCAGATGTTCTCAAGCAGTTTAATGTAGAACACCTAGCCATCAGGTTTATATATGAAGAAGGAAGTAAGGTAAGAATAACCGTTTTAGACGTCTTATTAACAAAAAGAGCTGATGGATCAATAATACAGAATTTGAACAGGAAGAGTACCTGGACAGAGCCGTACACATCTCCTTAGCTTGGTATCCCTACAGTACAAGAGCAACTTGCTTAAAGCTCTTAATTATCGAATACGTACTACTTTTCATATAGATGTAATTAAAGAAGAAAGAAACGCCTCGCGTAACATACATAGGGAAAACTGATACCACGAGAAGTTTATAAACAAATATACGATACCGAAGGTTAGAATAGCCGAAGTACAAACAGTGGATAACAAATCCCTATTCATGTATCTACAATTCAGAGGATATGCAGCTATTGAAACATTAATCCGGATATTACTCACTACAATAAAAAAACAGTGGACCCCAGAAAACTACACACTCAATGGTGACACCTGAGGTCAAAAGTCAAGTCACATAGAATGACAACCTGATCTTGTATTTATCGATTCGACTGCTCTAGTGGAGCAAGTTGTACTTATCAAAGTTCTAAGAATTTATATTTTCGTGCCCGTGAGCACCTCTCAGTGTGACTAAGCAAAGGTGTAGTGCAAATAGTGAACAACTCAATACTATCCGTTTTAGTGCAAACTGGTTATAGCGTCAGTATAAGGTAATCTTTCCCAATAATTTATCGTTGATTGATTAAAGTTAGATATTAATACTGTTGGATACGGGCTCAGGAGTCTAGAGGTTAAGCTTTCGTGCGCGACATGAGTTCTTGGGTTCGAGTCCCTAGTGCAGGATCATGGAGGCCCACTGGAGTCCCACACTAGAATCAAACGTCTGTTCAGTGCTTTTGGTCCTCAATGGTGGTTTAAAATTGATCAATTCATGATTTTAGTGACAATAGTCTTCCACTAAACATTTGGTGAAATTTGTATTTGCATCATTATTTGGCTCAACCTAATTGACCTATATATATTGTAATCATTAATCTCAAAATTTCATATGACGTATTATTTTTATTCAAGTCAACACTTCACATTAGCTATTACCAACATTAACGATTTTATTTTAATTTGGAATCCTAAATTCACATACCATAGTCTTAAATGATGCTGTTCGCTTCAAAGCTGACCACTTCATGGATTATTAATTTGTACATATAATTGTAGTACCATTTGTAGTACCATTGTAGTATCATTATAATAATGTCAAGGTCTGACTCTATCACTTTATCTAGTAGCCAGTTCAAATATTTTGTGCGCCTATTTTTTTAAAGCAACCATTACAATTAACTTTCTAATTTTAGGTTTGTTTTAACATAATGAGAGAATGTCAACAAATTGAAATATAGTAATTACATATTTTCATAAAATTCCTACAACCAATTGTGATATTAACTACTAGAGGATACAACCGGAAACACCATCGCATAGAAGTTGGTATATTTTCCTTAAAGCCTATTCTTTGGAGAAACCGGATAAGAACAAATTAGACTTTCTTTCTTAAAAAAAATACTACTTAATGCGGGAAGACAGTCAGGTACCACTCGAATACATTTTAACATATTTTCTGTGTAATTAAGAATGAGAAGTGCTATTTGTTGTTATACCATATATCTTTTATTGAGAATTCTTCATTACTACCAAACATTGAGCATTAAAAACAAACGAATACATGTGTGTATTTGTTTCAATGTGAAGGCGATTGACAAAATAGTTCAAATTCTTTCCGAATAATGACAGGATTTAGTGTGCTGAACACGAATCAAATGCTTTTAATCTACATAGAATCGGTCCACATTATCTAAAGGTGACCTCAAAATCATAGAGTCATACGTTTTAACAAATGATATTACAATCTACCATTCAACTAAGTCTAATCATTTTAAATATTTCAAAGTTATCGTTTTAATTTTGACTAGTTTAAATTTTCTTTATTGTTTATACAACTACCAGTAGTGATGGAGTTCCATGGTCTGAAAATAAGAACTTAATTGTTTGTATATTGTTCAATGAATATGAAAAATAATTCACTTAGTCTTTTTCATTACTTGTCAATTAATTTACTTAGTCAGTCCTCATCAAAGTGATAAAGAGTTTTATTGTTTTATGTCACATGAACATATGAAAACAAGCATTAGAAAGAGTTTTATTATCTCTGAAATGTGTATGTTTGTTTACTTCATGGAGTTTATGCTCTGTATGAGTACATAGACAACCTTTTTCAGTGTAAAGAATGATTCTTCATTGTTTATCAGAACAAATGATGTATAACAATCTCATACAGAAATATAAAATAAACTGTCAAATTTCAGTATATATTACGTCTCTATGATGCAGTCGTTGAAGCAATCACTCAAGCTATCTGTTGTAAGATAATAAATCACTGAGGATAATATCGGATGTGTTACTCAATTTCATGGATTATTGGAAGTTAGACATTAACACCATTGGATGGCGGACGGCTCAATGGTCTAGAGGTTAAGCGTTCCCGCACGAGTCTGATAGGTCCTGTGTTCGAATCTCAAGAAGCGAGATCGTGGATGCACACTGTTGAGAAGTTCCACAGCAGTACGAAGCGGCCGTCCAGTGATTTCAGGTTTTCTATAGTGGTCTAATTTCAAGTGACTCATGATCTCAACTATTAAGATTACTATAATATTCCACAAAACCTGTTCTGATATTAAAAATAATAACGCAATTCAGCATTGTTCAGTGTGGTGTACAAAAATGTCAATGTAACAGTGGTCTGAGTATAGCTAGTCCATGAATTTGACTAAACTACTCACACACTTTTATTTCTTACCGTAATTATATAACCAATGGAAAATGATTTCAAGGATAATTATTGATTTTCAAGTGAGAGCCTGTAGCTGGTGAAGTTCAGACATTTCTGGCGTTAGACGCATATCACTACTGGTATTCGATGACAGTTGTGACTGGTCAGAGATTACGACAAAACATGGCATACATAACATTGAAAATTATTGCTCTATATAAATGAGAATTAATCACATCTGTTACGAGTTGGGATATAGGTTACTAATGTCAGTGTTGGACAACTTTTATAGATTCTGAATTTCTCTAGTTTTACTTTAAATTCACTTGAATGGTTCATTCTCCCCTACTTCTTACCACCTTATAATCAAACTACAAACATACGTCATTTGTCTAACCAATCCTTTAGAAAAAGTTTTGTTATTGTTTAGTATTTTAAATTTGGTCTTAATTACAAACTTTAGATCAATCAGAGAATTATTTAAATATGTGAGTCACTGAATTCCTCTTCTATTTTAGTTTAGGAGATGTTACACATGTGTATTCAAGAGCACACACACATGAATGAAACTTCGAAGCTTTATTCATTGCAGTGACAATGATACCTTTAAACTGATAAGTCTGGGTCACTCTTATGTATGGTGGAAACCTATGTTACCAAGAGTTCTCACAATACCATGGAACAAATATCCAGTGATTAGTTCTTTACAATGATTCACCAGCTCTGGACATATTTTCCAATAATTGACGACGATTAAATTGTTCTGTAGCATTGGTTTTATTAATAAACTGCATATTAGCACTCTAATCTTCATTACACAAAAATATTTGTTATTTTAAATTCCATATTACATTAGAAGTAATTCTTATCTGTATGTGTTTTGACAGGTTGACCACACAATTGTTTCTGTTTTCTTCCATGGGTTGTTTTGAGATCTTGATTAGTTTTTTCTTTGGGGTGTTTCTTCTTTGTTCTCTGTGTCGTTTCCATGATATGTCGATAGCTTTTGTCAAGATTTCCGTATTTTCTGACGTGAGTGTCCTTTGTAGCCTCATATGTTGATTCTCTATGACGTGTTGGTATTTGCGAATCCTGTAATGTGCATTCGTTATCATTAGATGTACCATTTTTCTACCACTTTGCTTAGCTGTTCTCTATCTCAATAGGCAGTTAACTGGAGGTCCATATCTTACACTTGTTGGTAGAATATACTGACGAAGACACTCGTGGAGAAAACAAAGTTGTTATCGAGGGGAAACCTGTCTTTTAGCGAAATTCTCCCATTTTTTAACAACCAGAAGCGTACTACGCTCATATGATTTTGAGATAGTGGAGAGGTTTGGTAGTTCCACCTGAGTTACAAATCTTCTCCACGATCTTATCTGTATGTAACACGAAACAAGTATGAATCAAAATGAAGTGTTCAATGATCTTAGTAGTCGATGAGCCAATGTTATTTCAAGATTAAATTACTAATTAAAACTTCAATTCGCTTGATCCAAAGTTCATGATTACAGTAAATTACAGCTAATTAGATATAATAATTCGATCATAATGGCAAATTTTATATAAAAGTGAACATACCTTTAACCTGAAGATGATGAAACAGGGAAAAAAAGATACAAAATTATTTATTTATTTTTCTTTTATGTCCATATAAAAGGAAAAAGTTTACATTGTAAAAACAATCGTCCTGATGAAAAACAAAAAAAAATCAAACTACATTCCATGGAATTTGGGTGATTAAGTTAACAGCGACTTTTTTTCTTAGAAAAAGCATGGTGATTTGCCTTGTTTCTCACTTGAATTAGAATTTACAACTTCAGTTACTCCTATGCAGAAATGTGTACAAGTCATACTAGTTTGTAAATTGGTCAAACATTTAGCAACTATTAGGTTAGAGATAACTCCGCCTGGAGTCCCTCCGGGGGCTACTGCCGGTCCCAAGCCCGGATAAAGGAGGAGGGTTGGGCATGGGGTTAGCGTCCCCATCCCGTAGAAAACTAACTCGCTAAAAAAATTATTCAAACCTTTTAAACTCTGCCCTGGGAGTCAGAAGGTCTTCATTTAGAAGAATTATGACGCCTCATGATGAAAGCCGAATTCCTTCGGAAGTTACGAGGCCGATGCCCCTTCTGACAACCAGAGCGACCATTTATTTAGGTACATGGAATGTTCGTACAATGTGGGACACCGGGAGAGCCTTCCAAATTGCTGCAGAAATGAGAAGATACAACCTAGAGGTACTTGGGATCAGTGAAACACATTGGACACAAGTTGGACAACAACGACTAACTACAGGAGAGCTCCTGTTATACTCCGGCCATGAAGATGAAAATGCACCACATACACAAGGAGTTGCATTGATGCTGTCCAAACAAGCGCAAAATGCACTTATAGGATGGGAATCTCATGGACCAAGGATCATCAAAGCCTCGTTCAAAACAAAGAAAGAGGGTATTTCAATGAACATCATCCAATGCTATGCGCCTACCAACGACTACAATGAAGACGCTAAAGATCAATTCTACAATAGGCTGCAGTCAATCGTCGAGAAGTGCCCAACAAAGGACCTGACTATTCTGATGGGAGATTTCAACGCCAAGGTTGGAACGGACAACACTGGATATGAAGACATCATGGGACGACACGGACTGGGAGAAAGAACGAAAATGGTGAGAGATTTGCAAATCTATGTGCCTTCAATAAGCTGGTCATAGGCGGCACCATATTCCCACATAAACGCATACACAAAACCACATGGACTTCACCGGATCACACCACACAAAACCAAATCGACCATATTTGCATCAACAAAACGTTCAGGAGGACTATAGAGGACGTGAGAACCAAGAGAGGAGCTGATATAGCATCAGATCATCACTTGCTGGTCGCCAAGATGAAATTGAAACTCAAGAAGCACTGGACAACGGGGCGGACAATATCACAAAAGTTCAATACGGCCTTTCTTCAGGATACTAACAAACTCAACAAATTCAAGATAGTCCTCAGCAACAAGTTCCAGGCCTTTCATGATCTACTCAATGGAGAAGGAACTACTGTGGAGAGCAACTGGAAGGGGATCAAAGAGGCAATCACTTCAACATGTCATGAGGTCCTGGGTCACAAGAAGCACCATCACAAGGAATGGATCACTGTTGATACACTGGATAAGATTCAAGAAAGAAGGAACAAGAAGGCAGCAATCAATACCAGTCGAACAAGAGCAGAAAAAGCCAAGGCACAAGCTGAATACACAGAAGTAAACAAACAAGTGAAGAGGAGCATCAGAACCGACAAACGTAAATATGTGGAAGATTTAGCAACGACGGCGGAAAAGGCTGCAAGAGAAGGAAACATGAGACAACTGTATGACACGACAAAGAAACTCTCTGGAAATCGCCGCAAACCAGAACGACCAGTGAAAAGCAAGGAAGGCGAGGTAATCACCAACATTGAAGAGCAACAAAACAGGTGGGTAGAACACTTCAAAGAACTCTTGAATCGACCAGCTCCACTGAACCCACCCAACATCGAAGCAGCACCCACGGACCTCCCAATCAATGTTGGCCCACCAACAATTGAAGAAATCAGCATGGCCATCAGACAAATCAAGAGTGGCAAAGCAGCAGGACCGGACAACATCCCAGCAGAGGCACTAAAAGCAGACGTAGCGGCAACTGCAAGGATACTCCACATTCTCTTCAATAAGATTTGGGATGAGGAACAAGTACCAAAAGACTGGAAAGAAGGACTTCTGATCAAAATACCGAAGAAAGGCGATCTCAGCAACTGTGATAACTACAGGGGCATCACTCTTCTCTCAATACCGGGAAAAGTCTTCAACAGGGTATTGTTAAACAGGATGAAGGACTGCGTAGACGCCCAACTTCGTGACCAACAGGCAGGATTCCGTAAGGATAGATCGTGTACAGACCAAATCGCAACTCTACGGATCATTGTGGAACAATCAATTGAATGGAATTCATCACTCTACATCAACTTCATTGACTACGAAAAGGCATTTGATAGCGTGGACAGAACAACACTATGGAAACTTCTTCGACACTACGGCGTGCCTCAGAAGATAGTCAATATCATACAGAGTTCATATGATGGATTACACTGCAAAATCGTGCATGGAGGACAGTTGTCAAACTCGTTCGAGGTAAAGACCGGTGTCAGACAACGTTGCTTACTCTCATCTTTCCTTTTTCTCCCGATTACCGACTGGATCATGAAGACGTCAACATCTGAAAGAATGCATGGGATACAGTAGATATCTAGGATGAAGCTGGACGATCCAGACTTCGCAGATGATCTGACTCTTCTATCGCACATGCAACAACAAATGCACGAGAAGATGACCAGTGTAGCAGCAGCAGCCTCAGAAGCAGTAGGTCTCAACATACACAAAGTAAACAGCAAGATTCTCTGATACAACACAGCATGCACCAATCGAATCACACTTGACGGAGAAGATTTGGAAGATGTAAGATCCTCTACATATCTGTGCATCATCATGAATGAACACAGTGGATCTGATGCAGATGTGAAGGTGCAAATCGGCAAAGGAAGAGTAGCATATTTACAGCTGAAGAATATATGGAACTCAAAACAACTGTCTGTCAACCAACACCAAAGTCGGGATTTTCAATACAAATGTCAAAACAGTCCTACCGTATGGGGTGGAAACTTGGAGAACTACGAAAGTCATCATCCAGAAGATACAAGTATCTATTAACAGTTGCCCACACAAAATACTTCGGATCCGTTGGTCAGACATTATCAGCAACAACCTATTGTGGGAGAGAACAAACCAGATGTCAACGGAGGAAGAAATCAGGAAGAAGCGTTAGAAGTGGGTGGGACACACATTGAGGAAAGCACCTAACTGTGTGTCACAATGCAAGCCCTCACATGGATTCCTCAAGGCCAAAGGAAAAAAGGAAGACCGAAGAACACATTACGCCGGGAAATGGAAATAGATATGAGAAAAATGAACAAGAATTGGATGGAACTAGAAAAGAAGCCCGAGGACAGAGTGGGTTGGTGAATGCTGGTCGGCGGCCTATGCTCCATTCGAAGTAACAGGCGTAAGTAAATAAGTAAGTAAGTAAGGTTAGAGATAATAAAAGTATCCTGAACAAAGTGATGAGAAAGTCATTTGGTTAGATAAATTGCTTTAATAAAGAATAATCTTATAAAACAACTATAAATCAACTTTATGAAAGTAAGTTTCCAAGAGCTTTTCTATATGTAAAAGGTGAAGTTACAAAACACAATTCCAGTTGAAGAGGAATTTGCTAGCTAACTTAATCAGCTAATTCGTCATCAACTTAGTGTTTAGTGTGAATTAACTATGTGCGGATAAAGCTTTCTGTACATTTATATATATATATATATATTGTACTCAATAAGAACAGTTTATTTGTAAGGATTCGATGGTGGACTTGTATATTCATGCATTTACCATGAGTATCTTTTGTCATTTGAAAACTACTGTAAATAATCATAAAGACTGACGGATGCAAACTAATTTGTTTATATTAGAAGGAGTTTTGTGGAATATTATAGTAATCTTAATAGTTGAGATCATGAGTCACTTGAAATTAGACCACTATAGAAAACCTGAAATCACTGGACGGCCGCTTCGTACTGCTGTGGAACTTCTCAACAGTGTGCATCCACGATCTCGCTTCTTGAGATTCGAACACAGGACCTATCAGACTCGTGCGGGAACGCTTAACCTCTAGACCATTGAGCCGTCCGCCATCCAATGGTGTTAATGTCTAACTTCCAATAATCCATGAAATTGAGTAACACATCCACCATTGTCACCAATGAATTGCTATCTCACAACAGACCTGGTTGAACTCCACTGGTCACTAGAACTTCAGGAAATACCTCTAGAAACCGGCCCAGTGGTCTATTATTTAGGCGCTCGCGCGCGAGAGTGATAGGTCAAGGGTTCGAATCTCGCGATGTGGGATCGTAGATGGGCTTTGCTGAGGAGCCTCGTACTAGGACGAACCGGCCGTCCAGTGATTCCAGGTTTTCGATGGTGCTCTAGCTTTAGTTGATTCATGGTCTCAAATATTAATATTAATTCAGTGAATTAACATATTTGCAATTCAAAGGAAGTCTGTACTTTCGTAGCAGTTTGGACCAATCTCAATAATCAAATGTATCTCGGACATAATTATATGGCTTAGACAAAATACACTATCTGCCCAGTGTAAAAAAAACCGATGTAATCCTATACGGATATCGGTTTTTTTAATCACTATTAATCTATCTGAAATTTAATACAACACCAGAGACTTATTCGATGGAATTCAGTCAGTATTGAAAATTAAGGGGAACTCTTCGATTAACTATAGGACATGAAGTTTTTCGTATATAATTTGCACTCAATGAAAGTTTGTGCTTGTCCAAAAACCCTAATACTTACTGTTAATGTTATATTGTATTATGGATAAACGATGGATCGTCTATCAGTTGACTGTTAATTGATTTAAATCAACTTAAAACATCAATATATAGATGGTTTTTTCTTTTTTGTTTTTGTTTTTAATTTTTATTATTTAA